ACCTGAATTTTGATTTTTTCCCAATTTTATTCTTTTAAATTTTTCACCATAAATTTGCTTCTAGGCTGAGAAATTACCTTTTGGGTTGGGCTAATTTTATTCTTTTTAGTTTTTCACAATGAATTTGTTTCTGGGCTCTCCCTCCACCCCTGGCCCAACACCTTTTTATTTACGTGCACGAACACAGGTTTTCCTATCTATCATATTCTCATCCAAAGTTGTAATGTCTGGACTTGAAGCTTGAAGATCAATCGGGTTAAAAGCCTTACTTATTGTCTCTTGTTTGAATTCGACGCCCCTTCAATATTGAAGGGATTTGGCATGGAGAATTTAGAAAAACCACTTGCTAAGGAGATTTGATGGCCCTTGTATTAATTCCTATTACAACATGGAGTTTCTGATTGCTAATTTATTTTAGGTGAAACAAGTTTGTGTTGTATAGCCTACGGAATGATGAGCTCAAGCATCATGGAGAAGGGAACAGAGGAAACTAGGAAAGTGACATTTCCAACTATCAGAATTATGTTTGTTGAAATGGAAGACATGAATTACAGAAAAAGATACAGCTGTTGTATTAAACTTTCTATACCCTTACTCGTCTCAAGTACTCAATTTTGCTTTGTTGCTCCTAACTCCAACTTGCTTCTTGCTTGGTTAGTATTTAAATGAAGACTCCTTGACCTATTTATACTTTCTCCTCATTTAGATAAACGGCAGGGATTAAATAATATCCAATGGCTAGTCTTCATTAACTAGAATTTTCTACATATACATTTATCTAGAATCTTCCAACAATGTTGTCTTTACAAACTTAGCTCTTGAGTGCCTCTAACAATCAATCTAGCTCTTTATTCGAGGATAAATTCTACATGTTTCCAATACTTTATTTACATTAAACATTCTAGTTTAAATCCATCCACATTTCCCCAATTCTTGTAGAATGCTCTTTCAAAGGAACATTCTAGAATATTGCTCTTGCACATTGATCCATGATTCTTTACAACATTTTAGAACCTTCNTTAGTATGCTCTTTCAAAGGAACATTCTAGAATATTGATCTTTCACATTGATCCATGCTTCTTTACTACATTTTAGAACCTTCAATTCTTCTAGAATGCTCTTTCAAAGGAACATTCTAGAATATTGCTCTTGCACATCGAATGTTCTAGGCTTGCACTACCCATCAACCTTAGCATATGCACGACCTTGGCCGACTGCTAAAACAGCTTATGTTGACACCTTATTGTATGTATACGTGGCCTTGGCCCATTGCTCCTATTCCTATACCGGTACCCCCCAACTGGTAGAGGGAGAGGGAGGAGTGAGGGGCCGGGACAGTGGAGTCAACTGCTACAAGGATTCGAAAATTTTAGTACACATTTGTCAAATTTGATGTTATATTACTCCCATCTTCTCTCTCTCACCATAAATTGATTCATTAGACTTTCTCACCTTTGTTACAACTTACCAGGCTCAGTTGTATGTGTTATCAGTAAGACATTATTCTTGTCAAATAAGATCGATTTATTCAGAGTATTAGTCTAGTTCAGAGGTATGGAATTTTATAGCATCTGTCACAGTGCATGGATCCAGATTCACTATAAGATCAAAAGAAAGAACAGAAACTGAACTTGTAAAGCACTGGGGAAACCATTTTACAAGAAGTGGACTCCTTACATACTCAAACAGCCTCACTCTATAAGAGCATCTCCAAATAACACTGTAGTGGATGGATAACACATATTTACATCTAATTACATTACACTAACAGTACTCTTGCTCCCCAACACTTTCACAACATCCTTGAACAGAAACAAAAACACCATGCTACAACAACAGCCTCAAGGGAGAGAAGGATCAAAGCTCACACGTCGTAAGGAGGACGTGGGCTCCTGGGTCCAACTGCACCCGCCTTCTCGTAAGCGAAGGATGCAGACCTCCTACGAAACCGAAATGCCTCTCTCTCGCCTGAACCTAAGCATCATTCGCAAGAACAAAAAAAATCGGGTCATAAGCAATGATGGCATGATTTTCCATCTAGAAACAGTAGCTCGTGTGGGTTTCAACTTTAGATAGGAAAAGTAAAATAAAAAATATACAGCAACATAACATGGTCCCTTCAATCTTTTATCAAATATTGAGCATCAAAGTCGATAAAGACAAATAAAAAAGTAGTATCAACTAACCCTGTGGTAACATGTTTGGATTCCATTACCCGGCAAATTCCTTAGTCAATTACGTGTTGCTTTAGACAATGGCCCCGCACAGACAGACACATAATTGCAATTTAACAATTGTAACCTAATGGATTCTCCAGATAATATTCCACCAAATGTCACTCGAGACAAAATTTAAAATTAAAAAAAAATGGCCCCCCATGGCCCCATGTCTCTATTATTGCCTATCATTATTACTGTAGAAAAAATTGACAATTTTCCTAAATAGACTCAAATACCCTCATTGTTATTCTATCCTTGGAAAAGATAATGTCCGAATTACCCTCAACAGATTCCCCCTTCTTTTGGGAGGGCAGTTTAAGCCATTTGGCAAAAAGATACTAGAATGTCTGACGTCATATTTAAGAAATTGATCATTCCTGCAGCTAACACTAGGCTTACCGGCGAAAGGAGATACCGGAGGTGTAGAGCCAGCCGGTGAAATCGGAGGTGTGGAGCCTGCCGGCGAAACCGGCGGCGAGTCTTTCTGAACACCTTGAGGCTTAACTATCATAATGCTTCTTGTAACCCTCACTGCATCCTCACCCGCTTCATTTCCAAAAGATCTTGGATTCGCAGCTTCCAAATCTGCTCGAGAAACACATAAATATCAATCAAATCCTCGACGAATTAGAAATTCATATTACAATCATCTTGTCAATTATACGCTCTTATTTCTATTTCTCGAATCTGGTAAGCAGTAACAAATGAATTAAACATTTTCCAGTTAAATGATTGGAAAAACACTAACACTTGGAGTAAATCTATATTATAACGAGCTCAATTAAAAGCTTATGCAGTTATTAACTAAACAATAATCAAATTCATCTTAATTATATCTGATTACTGCACAATATTATGTACGTAAGGATTAAACGAGTTCTTCAGGACATGATGTTACGATCAGGGATGTACAACCGGCGAAAGATAGCAACAAAGGCGTACCCTTGCCGGAGTTAGGCCGGAAGCTAAAGGTGGCGTGTTTTCTGAGTTTCCCTAGGCCGCTGTCCGGCCTGGGGCCGGCAACGGTGTCGTCCCAGAGCTGGTCAAGTAAACCCATTGGCGCACTTTAACTAGCACGGCTAACGTAGAAGCTTAATTGACGCTACCTATATTAGACAAGTAATTCCCCTGAAGTGAGCACTGAGCAGAGATATTTATGGACGAAATGAGCGTTAAAGGTCGAGCAGTTTAGTCGGATTGAGATGAATTATTAACCGTGGGATTAGATCTGAGGGATCTGGGATGACTTGGACGGTCGATCGTTAAGGGCGTTAAAGTAGATAAGATCGACATGATGGGGTGCCAGGTGGAAGTCTGCCAACGAGACGAGTGGTCATGTCACGTGATAGGTCTTTTTTAATGCAGTGAAATGTCATAAATACCCCTCTTATCATTGTGGGCTTGGAATCTTGACCATCACACACGTGAAAGCCTTTAGTTCTCGCTTGAAGGATTGTTCACAGAACAATTAAAAGTGACGGCACCGGTACAGGTGATTTTTTATTATTTTTTTAATTGTCCAATCACAGATTCACAGGTGTGTTATATTAAAAAAATCTTTCAAAATTTTCCGTACGCGTAGCATGATTTCAAAGGTTATGTTCATTCAATATTGTATCGAGTGTGTAATATTATCCGATATTATACGATTCTTAAAAAAAAAAAAGATAATTATATTCTTGCACCGCTTCTTAATAAATAGTAATACATAATAAAATTTAGGACCCAAAAAAATTATTTTTTTCTTTTTCCGTTTGTATTTTTTCTATTTTTAAAGTTAATAGCAAGAATATCTTTTTACAGTTCTTTAACGAATATTTTGATGGATTCCGTTAAAACAATTTTTCGAATTATATCGAACAACCTAAACAATCTTGCTATATGTACATAAAGTTTAACATTGTTGTGAGGTAATAACTTTTTGAAAAATACTAAGTGTACATCACCTCCTACATAAAGGTGTACATAATGGACACCCGGCTTCTCTCTATTGGAAGAAGTGCCGATCCCACCGGAACTTCGTTCAATGGAGAGGCGTTGGGTGTCCATAATGGACACCCTTATGTAGAGAGTGATGTACTTGTAGCATCATCCCAACTTTTTATACATTAATTTTAACAACACTTTAAACAATCAATAGTACAAATTTTGACATATCACACAATGTCAATTGTAATGTACATTTTAAAACTACAACTAGCACAATTGATTCTAAGGTTAGGTCGAGTAGGACCCATCTATTCAAACTTGTTAATTTACAATCGATCAAAGTAGAAATGAAATGTTTTGAAGTAGAGTTGAACTATACGTACAGCTTGTGAAATTCACGGGCCACTCACATGCACAGTGGGGTGGGTTTTTTTTCTATTTTTTATTCATGGGTGGGGCCCACCCCCCATGTGAGAAGCCTGGTAATGGCCTGTGAAATTTTTCCCGGTACGTGAGGATTAACTCTTTGAAGTAAGATGACTCAATCCTTTCTAGGATAAATCTGTCCCACCTACAAAATTTGAAAAATCTCAAAAATAAAAAAATCTATTTGGGAAACGATGAACTCAAAAAGTCTTGAAAGTTGATTAACTAGCCGCCTTGGCGCGTCTACAGCACGACCATGTCTCCCACTAATGTGTGTACCTTTCATTATCACAACAATTATTAAGGTTTGAATTGTGCATCCCAACTAATGTTTGTCTTGAATCGCACTTATATCTTGAATTATATTATTAATATTGTTCTTTAGTCCCTCTATTATATAGAGGTATAGGAATCTCCGTCATGATCAGGGTTGATGTCGTTTACTTATAATGGATTAAAATAACTTATCAACTTTTTACTTAAATTTAAAATATAGCCCCTGTTTCAAATAGTATTTTTTGACGAATGTGTAGTTAAAAAGTGAAAAAAAAAAATTTAAATTTACGTGTAGAATATTATACTATATAAATATGTAGTTAAAAATGAATACAAGAATTAAATATGGGTTATATCAATCGTGGATAATATGAAAAGAAAGCTTTTTAACTTTTTTTTAAAACATTTGTCTAGCATTTTATGATTTGCTGTGCTTATTTGAATAAATGTGTTTGGGTGAGATTTAAAAGAATTACTTATAAGTAAATTTATATATTAGTAATAAGTACATTTCGAAATAAACAATTAATGTTAGAATAGTCAACAATGTTCAATAAATGAAAATAACGGTATATACCCCAACTTTATTGAACAATGTTGCGGTACCCTACCGTCACATAAACTAGTATTTAACATGTTGGGATTGGTAGCATTGCTCTTTTTTTGTTTGTCAAAATTGAAATCTAGTTATTTAAATGGGAAAACTCATTTGTAAGTCATTAGAAGGGTGTAAATTTAATTAATTAATTAGTAGGTCACACTCTAACGTGTGAGGGGTGTAAATTTACACCCCTCTAATGACTATACATATAGCATTGTTCTATTTAAATATAGTTGTATGTGTATTACTTCCAAATATATATAAGGTTTATTTTACATGTACAAAAGTTAAAAAAAAGTAACTTTTAATGGAAAATGCTATGTGTACACCATAAGGTGTACACAAAGTTTTACACCCCTCACATGGAAGGGGGCTCACAAATATTTTATAGTGTACGGGCTCCCTCCATGTGAGTAGGGTGTAAAACTTTGTGTACTCCATTATGTGCATATAGTACAACCCTTAAATAATATGGCGTGCATATAAAAAGAAGAAAAAAAGGTGACACTTGACCTTGATGTCAATGTCAACTTTGAATGTAGGTAAGGTTGGATATGGATTATTATCATCCTTGTTGGAGTCTTGGGGTTATAAATTTATAATGGGGTCTTGTTGAGAATTGCATTATTTTGGACATTCGTTAGACTAGTTCACGAAATCATTATCTTGAACACGTAATTAAACCATGAACAAATCCCAATTAATTATATGACAAGGACTTCGGTAATTCTGAGTTTCCCTATGATCTCCTATCAACCAAGATTTGGACAACATCCACTTTCTTTAATTACAAGTTATTTGCAATAAAATCTCTTTGACTATTCTATGGGATACTTTATTTTCAATCAATTAATTGACCTAAATGTATCTTGGCACAATTGATCACCCACCACTCGCAATCCAACCCAACCCAACCCAACCCAACCAGATTTGAGAAGGACGAATTGTGGTGGCATGTCTGAGATATTGAACTGTATAAAACTGGACATTACAAAAGAATTCCACATCGAAAACAATGTGTGTGAGGTTGTCCATTTTTTTTATTCTTTTGGAGAGTTGGAATGGTGGGTGCAGGTGAAGGCGTTTAAAGGCTGGACGGATGTCAGGGAAGTGGTAATTGGCATTGGGAGTCGATGTAACGCTGATGATTGGGTGTGTTTGATTGTGCTTTACGGATGATGTGGAGTGAGAGGAATCGAGATTTCCACAAGAAACTTGATTTATCACCTTGTGGAGCGGGCATAATTGTGGCCTAAGATGGAGGGGAAGGCTGGGAAGGATTCTGTTAGATGGAGGCCGCCATCTACTGGTGTTCTTAAACTCAACATTGATGCGATTGTTCAAGTAGAGGTTATTTCGAAGTGTGAGAGATGAGAGGGGTGGTTGTGATGACCAAATCCAAAAAAAAAAACAAAGAAAGAAAGAAAAATATTGGGATGCTACCAGGTTGCTGATGCTGAAGCCATAGCTCTAAGTGACAGTACTTTTTGCAATGCACGACCTCAAGCTGGAATGGTGCAGTACGACTCGCTTATGGTGGTCCAAGCCCTTTATAAACTTGTTTGATAATAACAATTTTCCGATATTGCTCTTCGTGGTGCAACTTGAATATGTAAAGTTTATTCTTCGCGCTATCCAGTCAAATAGCTGTTGGAATTTCTAGTCCGAAGCTGCAGGTTTTTTTTAATACTGCCATACTTGTATTTCTTCATATCAAATCACACCCAAACGCGTACTAACGTCAAAAAAATTGTTAGGGCTTCTTTGATAAATATTTTTTGAGTTTTTTTTTTTTAATTTATAGTTAAAAAATAAAATGTAGAAAAATAACGATGAAATATATAATTGTTATCAAATAATTAAAATCAAACAGAGTTCATGTAAGGCTCTCTCGACAACATCCAACCGACATCAAAGACCACGAATACTAATAATTGAACCACCTCTCCAAACCACAAAAACACAAGAAACAAGTTGAGCAATCAAACAGGAAAAAGGTCCCCACACAATTATGCAACCTTTTCTCACAGAGCTCCAACACCTTGCAATGTTTCCCTTTAGTCATAGCACTATGCTGTGTTTTTTTTTAGCCCAATACATTCGGACCACATATTTTCCATCAAAAATCACACCAAACGTAATAAAGAGAGTACATTAATTATGAATTCACGGGCCCAGCCGATACATCGAGCACCAAATTGTCCCACTATTATTAAATGGTGCCTACTTTTACAACTAAAAGTCATTTGTAAGTTATATTTCTCTACAAGCTCGATATGAAGTGAGCCACTTCAATATCATAAGCAAAGCAAATTATCAAAAGTAATCCATATAAGTTGGCAACTCGTTCCAACCGAGATTGCACGAAGTTAATTAAATCTTTTTTTTTTCTTTTTGGTAAAAAAAAACTCAGAAATTCAGACGTTAGAAGTTAAGTCGTTTAATCAAATTTTTATATATTTATATGAAGATGAACGATCCAATGAACAGTGATACTCTTATTATGCTAAGCTCTAATAATATGACATATTAATTCTGTTACGCCTCGCCTCCGAGGCTCAAAGTAAAAAGTGTTACGTAGCAAGCCACGTAGATATAAAGTTAATAAGAAAGTCAAATAAAGAACCATGAGGTCAAAATAATGAAGAAATCAAACAAAGTCGAAGTCCTGCACTGCAAGGCCGAAGTCCATGCTGAGGCACTGCCTCAAGGATTACAATTTAGGCTAAAACACTGTCTAAGAAAACAAAGAAATGAGCTAAAACTCTCCACTTAGAGAACCACCTCAAAGATCTCTCCGAGGCTCCCAAACTCGTCTGAAACTC